ATACTGTACACTGAGCACCCCAGTACTGAACAGCTGTCTTTGACTTGTTATAAGCCAGAGGTGGAGCATTGGTTATCTGTGAAAATGGTTTTATTTGAACATTGAGTGTTTCTGACAGTATTGTTGCGGAGCTGGAGTGTGACTGACGCTGCCACCTAGTGTCCGTCAGGGGTCCGACGGGCTCGTGGCTGTGCTCAGCGGTCCCTCTCACGAGAATGCGCAGGGAGCTCAGGTGTGTGAGGACAGATGTGCTTGGCTGGTCGGCAGCCGTCATGCTGGTGTACTGTGTTGAGTTGTACTGTGTTGAGTGTACTGGTGTACTGTGTTGAGTTAGTGACGCGTTGCTCCTGGGTGTCTGTGACTGGAGTCGCTGCGCTGTTCCAGAGCTGTGCAAAGGCAGTGAGACAGAACGTGCGTCGTGTTTCGAGAGAACAGTTCAAACAGTTCTGACCGGTTATGGGTTCCTGAGAAGTAGGAGCTGGAATATTCCTGTTCTGATTATTGAAGACTTTGAAAGATCAATCAGCCCAGGTAAATACCAGTTGGAAAATGAGGCACCACTTTACAGCGAGAGTGGTGGGAGAGTGGAACAGGCTGCCCAGCCATGTTGTTGAAGCGGATGCAGCTGGACCTCTCTCTGTTCTGGATCAGGTCGGGTCGGACCGGGTCTCTCTCGGGCCTCAGGGAGAACCGAGCAGACAGTGTGTTCGTGAGCCAGGAGAGACACGGCTCAGCGATACTGTGTCACAGACACCTCGTTCTCCTTCACCTGCAGAGGCTCCTTACAGCCTGTGACACTTGTACAGACGTTCAGTAACGTGCAGAATAATGCGTCCTGTTGTAAGAGCAGCCCGTCAGCCTGCTGAACCAGAAGATCTGTACTTTCTGTCAGTCGGTGAGACACTCACTGTCTTTAGTAAACAGGTATTCAGCTCCACACACAGCTGTGGGTTTACTTGCAGGGGTTCAGCTTGTGTGTTTCTCTGTGTTTCAGTGTTCGCTGCAGTGATCAGCCCTGCCAGCTGTCAAGGTAAGAGC